TGCTCATCGTGGCTCATGCAAGCTGTTGGTGGCCGCCAGAGAGCGCCGGTGGTGCTGCGATGTATTTGCCTCTAATTGTGCAAATCCTACGGTCGTTAATGCCAGGGAAGAAAGTGATCTAGGTATCGTGAATGCGTTCAAGAGATGGCCGCCGGAAGCAGATGCATTTGTTATGTGGCAATCACGTATTTACCAGCGCCAATCTTTTCATTGCCTTGTACCATTCTCGACGACACTGCCAGGATCTCATACACTTTACTTGGCATTCTTGACTTATTCAGGGCTACCTAGCATCCATTTTTCAGAACATACCAAGCAGTGTACGTAAAACATCGCTATTATTACTGGTACGCGTTTATTATCCGATAGCGATTGCAGATGAGTAGTTAGTCCTTTAGTTATAAAAACCAAAACCACGACAGGACCGCCAGTCCTAAGATTGATAGGTCTACTCTCCGGGGTATATTGGCCTTTGCTGCCGTATTACTGCTACTTGTTGTCGTTCCACTTGGAGCTGCTCCTGGTGTGCCTATGGTAGTCCGAACCGACGATGTGAGGGATGGCTCAGAAGAGTTGGAGGAGGGGCCCGCACCTGATCCCCCTGCTGCACTCGATAATTGGGCGAATCCAATCGCTGGGGGATTCGAGTCTCTGAAAACAGAGTACACGTTTTTCTACACCGAAAGCTTCAGTATATACTACGACGTCGACAAACGCGGACACTAACCAAAAACGTCGCCCCGACAACCCATCCCGGATTCCCAGTTCCTTCCGGGATGTTGCTTCCGGCAGTAAGGTCAAAGATTCCCCCAAGACACATATTGCTGCCAGCGGTCGCGGGGCCCAGATTCATGTCCTGGGCATTGATCGGCCACGACTTGCCACCAAACGACATTGTCACCTCGACGTTGGTGTTGCATGCTGAGAAAAATAATTATTCCAGTGCCCGAGGTATGTAAGAGAAAGCGCGCCACTCACGAAACGTGTACAGCCCTTGCTGTCCGCGAGCCTGTTGTGCACCGTCAACCTGAGCCCATATGGCAGCGACATCGTCGGACGGGCCACCAATCAGAGTTGTTCCAGTGTCGATCGCAGACAGTGCCGTGGTTCCGCTCGTGGTTAAAGCGACGCTTTTCCCTTGGACGGTAAGAGCTGAAACGCGAATCAGGGGGAGCCTGAACGCGTAGACGACGATAGGAACTTGCCTTGGAGCTCTAGAAGCCAAAATGACGGCGTTGACACGGGCATATTCAAAAACTCGATATCCCCCGTGAATAAGGTGGAGTTGGTCCCTCCGAGTGTAAATACGCCTCCCGATTCTTCTGGTTGTACGTTTGTTTCACCACGGTGCCGGGCAAGCCAAAAGCTCATTTCCGGAGATGTCAATTGGTTTCCACTGACAAGGGCTTGCCAGAAGGGCGTTGCCTGTGTAGAAGCGATCTGTTCGAACGCGAGTCCCATGATACCAGATACGGATCCGCTTAACAAGCTGCTTGTTGTCTGATCAACAGCCACTGCAACAAGGTCAATGTTTGAAAGCACGGGAGAGCATTTAGCATACAAAAGGTTTGCTGGTCCACGGTGAAACCTCCCATTGACACTGTATCGGCGGAGAGCGTTCCGGCCACGGCCCCCGAGCCATAACGTATAGTCGTCTCAGAGTTACTGCCGGACGCCGTTTTCAATGTCGATGATGACTGAGTGTCGAACAAAGGCGTCGAAGAAGAACAGCTTAAACAGCTCGTGTCGGCGACCCACAGATCTGAAGAACCTGTGTCGAGAATCACGTCGAATGGTTGGGCCCTGAAGAGACGTCAGAATCATCCGAAATTGCAAAAAAGCAAACTACGAGGTCCCGGTACGATCGTGGCGTCAACGCAGCCGACGAGCGGGAACTCGTTTAATTTTTGTCGACGTCGTAGCCGGGGCCGTCTATCATGTGCGCCACTTGCTCCGCGACGTCGACCAGGTGGAAATGACACTCACGGCGTTCCAATGCTGACAGTCGCAAAATAACTCGCATCGGTGTTCTTTAAAAAGGGACAATCAGCTCAGGGCCTCGACATCGGACAAAGAAGCGGCAACGCACTTGATCCACAATACCAATACCAGCAGTACTCTGCCTCTTTCTGCTCTGGGATGCGGGGAAATAGCCGTACTTTGCCCTAAGGGCATCCGCAGCAGCTGCGTAATCGACCTGGCGGGGGCCGTTGTTCCTTATGGACACATGAATGGGCTCTGCAGAGACGGAAAGAAGAATGAAAAGTAAGGATACGGGAACGAGGAACATGGCGGTCGTGAGGAAAGGAATGAAGAGCCTGTGGCCAAGCACAGATGAAAGCCGGAAACCTGTTCTGCGGCAGCGTGTGACGTGAGGAACAGATTTATATCCCGTGCACGTGCCTTCCTCCCGAAACTCTCATCATCATGTCTTGGTCTCTATTCAGTAAACTGGCCTTTGGAGGGCGCCCAGAAAATAAAATATCCCTTACCTGGTCTTGCTATTTATTGTCTACTCTTATGGCCGGGACTTTCTTTTGATACGCCCAGGTCTTTCAATACTCCAAGCACGCGTTACTTCCAAGCGCTTAATCATCCATTCTAACTAGGACCCATCGACTAATAACCCCACACTGCAATACCTTCTCACCATGTTGAACATGAGGACTGCTGCGTATCCGATTTGGCCGAGCTGATCAATCCTTTCTTCCCTACTTGATATGCATCTTATCAATTCCAGCAGTGCCTACTGAGAATTTATCTTCGGTTGCGTCTCCATCTGTTTAATTACTACGATACAGCTTCACGCTTCCATCGCGTCTTGGCAATCTCCTAATTTTCATCTAGGCACCGGCAGGTTGTGTCGGGAGCTTACCGATTAGGGACCAGCCGCTCTATTCTTCGCGGGAACGGCGCACGATGGCCAGGGTAAGACAAGACGCGTAATTTTTCAGCGCTCGAGATGTAGCGTGAATTGACCATTCATTAGAACAGCAGCGGCCAACAATTGCCGTGTTCCCATGAGATTTGGGGGAGACGCGTTGCCGACTCGCCGCGGATCACCCACCTTCCGCTTTTTGTCCCGGACCACCCTGGTAAGTCGCCCGTATTACTTGCTCTGAGTATATCTTGTCTTTTGTGCCCTTTCCTAAGCTCATTGTTATCAGTGAATCACGGTCCCTGGCGTTGCTCTCGCTCTGGTTTTCTATTCAGACGGAGGTCCCTGCTAAAATTCTCGTACAGAGTCCAAATCGTCGTAGACATCAAACGTGTTGTCTATATTTCGGTTTCCATCCCCATCTGCTTATCGGAATGATTCGACCTCCCTGACACTGAGTTTCGTTTAAAGCATGTTCCCCAAACCGTGTCCAGGGTCATGAATCAGACTCATGTTTACACGGACGTCCGGTGTGTCCCTAAGCAAGAAGCTAGTAGAATTTTTATGACATAAATATCTTCGAAAGCCCTTGCTCAAAGTCCATCGCTACGCATAAATCGTTGCACCGTTGCAGTTCTCTCACATCATAGTATTATCAGTTTGCGACCCATCATTTTCTGCTCTCTGGTGACTCATCTAGTCCTGATGGATCAACTTCGTCAATCCGGACAGAGTTCACTCCTTTATCCTGTGCACCCTAGGTCCATTCGTCACCGCCTCGCACTGCCTTCTTCACCATCCCTTAGGCCGTGGATCGGACAGTCCAAATCACCCTCGGACGATATAACGTTGAGTTAACTATAGTACGTATCCCCAAATCGGGGGCATCCTTTCCACCAGTTCTTACTACACAAACACATTCCCCCCATCAATCACAATGGTCTGTCCAGTCATATAGTCCGAGTCTGGACCCGCTAAAAACGAGACCAACTTTGCTGGATCGTCAGGCACACTCGTCCGGCCCAAACAAATCGAATCCGTAAACCTGGAAAAATTCTGGCCTATCGGGAGACCGTTTATTTCGCTCATTCCCCTGTCGATCTCTTCCCACATAGGAGAGGCTACAATGCCGGGGGCATAGGCATTAACGGTGATACGATGTCGGCCAAGTTCCATGGCGAAGGAGTGCGTTAAGCTTCGCACCGCGGCTTTCGTGGCGCTGTAATGTGCGAGTAGATGGTCTGCTCGGAATGATGTCCCGCTACAGAGCATTCGGATGAGAAGGTAATCGTCATTGAGAAGCTCGAGGGCCTACCTAGCGGCGTTGAGAATCTTGCCACTGGTTCCTTGCTTAATGAACTGCTTCGCAGCTATTGCGTCGCTGTTGAAAACCCCCATAACGTTCACTTCGAATATTCGTCGAAGGTCATCCTCGGTAATATCGAGGATGGGCTTGGAGTGAGCAATACCTGCGTTGGCGACCATGACCGTGAGGGGTCCGAGGGTATCAACAGATATCTTCACGATCTCCTCTACGTCGGTACGTTTGGACACATCTCCAAAGGCGCTAACAGCGCGCACACCAAGGGAAGCAATCTCTTCTACGACCTGCACGGAAGTATTACTACATAAGAGATGTATGATAGCGACGGGCCTACTGATTTGACCTGGTCAGCGTTTGATGAAAGATCGTTGACACAGATATTGAACCCGTCTTGGGCGAGGCGCAGAGCTATTCCTCGTCTGCTTCGGAAGGTGTAGAGTCAGTCGATGATCAGATCATTCGCTATCGAGCATAGTGCGACCCACATTCCTTGACCGGCGCCGGTGACGATAGCCATACGGGGCGATGCTGTGGTGACAGATCGGGTGGTCCTGTGTACATTTCGTGCACATATGATGCGCAAAGCAGTGTGATTCAAGATGGATGAGGTTCTGCTTATCATTGCGGGAGAATTGAAGGTGCACCCTATGTAAGTCAGGTATTGACTTCGAAATTATCCCATGTCTAACGACGAATGATTCGAATTTGATATGGGGGCTTGGGACCAGATTGATGAGGATGGCACGTCCCGATCAGCCCCTAATAGCTATTATAACATACCCAAACAGCAATGCCATCGACCCCTTAGCTCAGTGGTAGAGCGTGTGATTCCAGCGAATGCGGGTCCACAAGGTCAAGCGTTCAACTCGCTTAGGGGTCAGTACTTTTGCTTATTGTGTGTCTTATGGGTTTCTTATCTTTATATTTTCAATGTTCATTTCATGGGTTTTGTACCGCTGGAAATGAGCATCCTGAACCGTGGAAGGGGGGATGGAGGAGCTACGATCTTGATTACATCATTTCGATCACCGGAGAAACCCGGGCGGCGCTTAAATTCCCACCTAAACGCGTTGATTGTGACACGCGCTTCACGTGATCTTACTGCATCTTATCACCAACCGTCATGTCCTTCCCTTCTGTGTCGACCTGGAAATGGTCGACAGCTCATCGCGCTCAGTATTCCTCTCCTTCGTCATCACCACCGTGCTCGTCGTCTCCGCCAACATCACCGTATTCCGTCTATTCTCAATGTCAAGCCCGTATACAGTCAAGTCCCAGTCCTGGGTATTGTATCGACATTCACGATCCGGGCAACGGCGCGTCGAATTGGTTCCGGAGAGAACTGCATCCTCTCAATTTTCCTCATCCCAAAGTTCCGTGCAAACTACCAAGTTTTCATTCCATGTTTGGGGATTTACCTCCACCAATGTCTGATGTAGAAGAGTACTCTGACGTCGCCGACGCCCACCTTTTCCGTAGCAACGCGCCCAGTGACGTATCCCCAAGTCATGCCTCGGTTTTCTATACAGACAGCGAAGAGGAGGACCATGATCCGGAAGACGAAGCCTGCGTCGAAACGGCGTCCAGGGCTACGTTCTTCCGGGTATCTGAAGAGCGGGGCCAATGGAAGAACGATCCTATACCTTTTCAGCCTCAGCCTTCGTATCATCAGCGCAACTCAATGCCTGCCTCGTCTCGCCCAGTCCCACCAAGTCCTGACAGACGGCTCGCCTCTGAACCTGCAGGATTCCCCATGAACTCCCACCATTCCGGTTGCGAAGACCTGGATTTCACCTCTGAATTCTCCCCAGAGTCAGATGACAGACAGGCTTCATACGATGCCGATGTTGATTCAGAACTAATAACATCGGAATCAGAGATGCCAGATGACGATAATCGACCCTACTCACCTTTGCCCCCTTCGTCACCACCTCTGTCATCCATGTCTTTTTCTGTATCGCCAATGATCGGCCCTATGTCACCGACAAGCGTTCCAGCTCTACCTCCACTGTCTCCCGTTATCATTCCTCCGCTCCGCTCGGATGACACCGACATTGAGGGTATTCACCTCTCGGCCGCCATGGATCCTTCTTCGTCGCCACTTGTACGTGTATTGGCGCATGGAGCTTTGCTATCGTTCACAAGCCTCACCCTTACAGGTTCAGACCAAATATGAAATACCTCCCTTCATGATACCAGAAACGTCGATCACATGTGGCGCCGAGTTGGATACTATCACCGCCGTCATATCAACAGATTCAGCATCCCCATCTCCGAGTCCCGAAGGCTTCTTCGACAAGGATCAACGACCAGTCTCTCCACCACCAGCTTTTCCTGTTGTTATCGACACCGATGTGAATACCAACATTGAAGATTCCGTCGTGCCCAAGGGAGATTTATCGGACGATGTTATCGCAGAACTCGTCACAATCAGTGACGCTCCGACGAAGCAGGAGGTTCCAGAGCAGGATCAGATGGTTGAGGTCACGCTGAAAGAGAAGAATGGAGTTGACTATATCGCGGCAGCAACGATGGGGCACGAGAAGCGCAAAAAGGAGCAAGACGATGGTCCGAAGAAGAAAAAGCCTCGGTTGGGTAGCCATTTGACGTCTTCTGGCGCTGCTGGAGACGATGAAAACTCTAGGACCGCCTCAAAATCCGAAACCAAGACCAAGACAAAAGCAAGGAAGCCACGAAAGCAAGCTGAGCCTCCTCGACGTCGACGTCGACAGCCGTCGTACTCCTCTTCAGACGAAGAGGATGAAGAGCCAGCAAAACGACAGCCACCGCCCCCACCTCCTTTGAACTTCTCAGTCGAAGACGCCGAACTATGCGGTATGATCATCGAGAGCATGGCCACATCTCGGGCTTCCTCACATCGGGCCTCTTCCATCTACAAAGCTGTCATCCAGAACCGCCCCGCACTCAAATCACAACGAGAAGATCCGGAGTGGATCGCTTCCATCAGGAGGGTGCTGGAAGAGGCACATCGAGTGAATGGTATGTTTGGCAAGGTGGAAAGCAGTGGCATGGTGAGCGCATCTGTGAAGCTGTGTTATCGGGCGTTAATCTCTCTTCTTTGATATAGGATGACTCGAACCACCCCTTGGAAGCGCAGTGGTTCTATGTGCCGGAGCGAGATGAAGACCAGGAACGCGCGTCGTTAATGAGGACAATGATGCCTAGACCAGCGAAAAGGTCTGAAACGAAGAAGTATAAACAGTATTACTACCGCCCTCTGGGCAAGATTTCGCGTTGGGACTCTGAAGACGCCCTCTAAACATTCCTGCTTTTTTGATTGCACTTTTTGACGCTACTATCATTATTCTAGTCTTCGTTCTGCGTTCCAGCTTGTAGCTATACTTTCCCATCTATTCTCGGTTTTTGTTCTTCCTTGCAACTGCATTTTTAGCGTATTGAGAGAGCATAACGATCGCAGTTCTTTGACGGCAATAATGATTATCGTAATATTGCATATACAGAATACACATCTAAATATGAAAAATCGTGACGCAGGCGAGTAAGAGAGAATCTAACGTCTCTGGGTCTTCCCACCCTTACGTTTACCAGCAAACAGATGTTTTGGCTGAGAGGAAAGGTCAGACATTTGCATTGTATCACATCCTGTAGATTCCTCACCATTTTGACTTTGATTGCACGATCGCTCTCTCCGGCCTTGGCAAGTTGGTTTCGCGGCCGCTGTCCAAGATTCCGTAGCTTGACCGCCTTGGATGCTTGCTGGGTATACATGAGCAAGCAGTATCGTAAAGCTTAACAGATAGACTTACCCCTTCGTCCCGTAAACCAGCGAATTGTCGATTTGTCTTCGGTGCCCGTCTGTCTATCGCCATCACCGCACCAGAATTGCCCTTAACGCGCTTGGCCGATGCCTTCTCCTCACCATCAACGTCCATCCCGTCATCGTCCTCTCCATCATTCTCCATGTCATCATCATCGACATCCATCTCAGCTTCCTCGGCCCTCTTCCGCTTCGCTCCCGCCACCTTGGCCAGTACCGTTGCACGCTCTTGTATCCGACTCGGGTCCAAGCCTGCCTTGGTCATCCCGTCTGTCAAATCTGACAGTGACCGCGTTGTCGCTGTCCGAGGCATACGAGCCTGGTTCTTTTTGCTCTTCTTGATACTCTGCGAGTGAATCTTGTGTGAGAGGGCGACTTGAGCTTCTTGGGCTTCGCGTTCGTCGTCAGAGTCGTACTATTACAAGCCCCTTAGGTGTGAGAGAAGAAGAGGAAACAAGAGGTGCTCACCATCTCTTCGCTGTCATAGAATCCTTCTGTCTGAAGGCGCTCTTCTTCACGTTCGAGAGCGTCGAGCTTCTCCAGAATGTCGGGATCAATGAAGTCGGCAATGTTCTTACCATCCATGATCTCGGGTATGATGTCCATCTTCCATTCAGGATTGGCGAGGAGGTAATCCTCTGTTGATACAATCAGTCAACGCTGAAGAAGGGCGGGGAGGCACGTACGTTTGAGGTTGATGTTGTAAACACCAGGTCCACCTTCTTCCAACTCAATATCCTTCTGTAATCGCCGCCTGTTAGGATCATCTTTGTCGAACTTCTTCTTGCTCTTCACTGCCTCAGGTATACAAGGTGCACGAACCACGTCATCGCGTGCTTTAGGCTGCGCAACGTGTATCCGGTTAATGATGGAATTAATTTTGCTGCCCTGGATTTTGGACTCAACGCGGTGAGCGAGGAGAGCCTCGCAGGCCTTATTTTTAAGCTCCATCACACCCTCCTCGGAATAGCATGAGACCTGAACGCATTGCACGCCTTCGGAGTCAATGATCTCCTGAACAAGGGCCCGAGAGTCGGGGTGGACGTCTTCAAGACGCATGACATCGATTTTGTTGATGATAAGGAGAGTTGGTTTGCCGTTGAAGAGGGGTTTAATGGAATGGAAGAGTTTGCACTATAACAATGTCAGATAATTTGCGATTGCGATCCAATTGGCTGGAACTCACCTGAGCTTCGATGGTATAACCACACTGTTCACTCAAATCCATGAAATAGAGGACAGCGCTCTTCAGATGAGCCAACGCCGTAATACTCTGCATCTCAATCGTGTTCATATCCTCCAGAGGGTGGTCCAAGATACCGGGCGTATCGATGACCTGCCATCGAAGGTATTTATAATCCAGATGTCCCACAAAGAGGGATTTTGTGGTAAAAGCATAGGGTTGGACGTCAACGTCTGCCCGAGTGACTTTGTTGATGAATGAAGATTTTCCGACGTTGGGGTAGCCGCAAATAAGAAGGGTTCGGGTATTGGGATCGATGGCAGGGAGACGGGATATATGTTGGCGCACTTGTTCTAGGTATGCGAGGGGGTCCTTTTGACGCCGCATGATTGTAGCCATCCTACAACAAACTTCGGTATTCTGCAAAGTAGAAAAAGAACTGAATTGCTCACCGACCAAGAGCAGCCCTTTTCAGCTGCTTGCAGCGATACAGACTGTCGCCGTACTTGATCAGTCTGACAAAGTCCTTGGCTACATTGTCAATAAGATTTTGAGCAGTGCGGAGTTGACCAAGGGCAAGTTTGTAATGATTTTTGTCGTAAAGAACGTTCATGAGAGACGAAAGGAAAGGGTGTAGGTCCTGTCTTGAATATGAGCATTATTTCAACATCGAAAAAAAGTAACGCACGTCCAACATGGGAAAGTCGTTCAGTATTGCACCCAGCTTTTCATCGAATGTATCTTGCGTGAATTTGACCTTTCTCATATAAAAGTTCCGTATACGGCTGATTTTGAAGTTTTTGTGAATGACCTATGCAGCAAATGAGTCTTCCTTGGATATTATTTAAGCGAATCAAGCTGACCGTTGGCGTCTTTCGCTGTGTCTTGGACAGAACGA